TTATGGTTTCTCACTAATGGGATATGCGAGTAGATATGACTTTTAACTGATAATTTATATATAAAATGACCTGTATTTATATTCTGTACTCCTGGAGTATCTTGATCAAAGGTGCAACAGTAAAACTTCATGAATCGACTCTGCTAGGGATTGGACCTTCCAAACTTTCATTTACCAGCCCAGATCTTTATCAACTACTCTACAGCATCTTGCCGATGTCTGTGGATCTTAGTAAAAGTTATCAGATTGAGGTGAAGCATCACTACACCAGGTCTGTGACTACACTGCTGTAATTCTAGTGTGATATTTAATACGTTTGAATAAGAATGTTTTGGAAAGGGTTTGCCTTGAAAGGCTTATACTGGCTGAGATCTAATCCTGTTCTTTGACACTGTAGATAAAGATACTCTGGTTAATTGCCAAAAAAAAGGCACTGCAATACAGTAGAGTACAGAAAAGTCCAGCAAATGATAGGATAGAACTGCATCATAGTACAACAGGATAGGTCAAGCCCACATCTAACAGGGCAATCGAGACATAACTTTAAGACAACTCTGACATTATTGATCATACACAGATCAGAGCTTCAGGATCATATATAACAGCACAGCTTGTTTCTGTAGGCTGTATTTTGTTCTTTGTGCATCTCTGAAGTCTTCATTGTCCATACACTCAGATCAGATAGCAGGCCAACACAGATCAGCCTCATACCTATTTAATGACACCCAAACTAGACTAATAACAAAAAGATTGTACAGGGCCACAGGTCAAAATGATTAGAGATCAGGAGGACGGTAAACAATCAGCAGTGTTTGGACTCATCACAAGGCTCCTTTGACTTCAGGATAAATGTGGTAACCTGCGTTGTAATGATCAGAAGCAGGGTAATCAATCAGTAACTCACCATCAAGCTGCTGTTACTCCAGCATATGATCGCAGTTATAATCCACACCAGAGCCCTGCTGCACACTCCCCACGCCATCATACACACATATAAACACGCGGACCTGTGAATACACGGCAGATATGTTCGCCCAACGGTGGTTTACTGTTTCATTGTACTGTGTACTACTAAACAGACGGGATCAATGCGTTTATCAGCTCTCTTCCTCTACTGCTCCTGCGCCTGCGCACAATACGCTGGAGGCGGGGCTGTGAAAGACGTCCCTTCATCTTCTTCTTCTTCGTCTTCTTCTTCTTCTTCTTCTTCTTTGGAATGTTTTGGCGTATTCCGCACCATAGGCACATACCGCCACCAACTGTTTCTAATCATACATGGATGATAGTCCCGCCTCTATTCATATTTTATGTATTATTATTATAATTTTTTTAATTGTTAATTTTATTTCGGGTTCACCCAAGCTGTATTTCTGGCTGCTGCGTGTTCAGCTCCCATGCCAAAAAAAACAGCTTCGGTGTTCCCCTATTCCTTTGCTTTAATTATTTATTTATGTATGTAACTATCAAATTCGTTTATTTAATCCTGTTTCTACGATATATTCCATTACTATAATATAATAATATATTTATAATAATTGATTAATACCTTCTCTTAATCATTTTCCTAATATCCAATTTATCTTCTTTTATTATTTATTATTACCTTTTAAGTTCTTTATCATTTTAATTCTCTCTATATTATATTTCTGACATTTTAATATTTAATATTACACGTTCAACGGTTTCTATTACCCCACAAAAAGCACATTTACCTGTGTTTACCTATTTTGTATAGTGATGCATTTAGTCCTGTGTGCCCAAATTGTAATCTATTTAAAATCATCATCTTTCCTACATCTTCCAAAATTGTATACTTCTTTAACTGATTAATTAATTTTATGTCACTTCATCTTGGAATGGAAATGTGAATTAATTAATTTATTTAACCTTCAAATAACAAACTGGCATTGTCATCTTTCCATTGTTAAACCCATTAACAATAAATCCAAGCAGCATATAATAAACTCAATGATAATAAAAATAGAATAAAATAAAGTTAAAATAATATCAAAAGCAAAATACAACACAAAATTAAAATACATTTTATATAGGTCAATCTATGTATGCTGCCAGAAGTTTAGTTTTTTTTTAAGTGCTCCTATTATGAGTAATAAAAGGTTCATATTTTGGTTTTGGGAGTCACCAACAACAGGTTGACATGCATGCACGGTCAAAAAACACTTTCATTGTCTTATAATATGCATTCATTTTTAACTTACTTGCTCAAGGACTCCTAAACTATTTGCTCAACCATTAATTTTTCCAAACCCCTCCTTTGCGTGACACTAATCTGCGGTGATTGGTCCGATTGGTCTCATTTTCATTTCATCATGAGCCTGTAATGCCTGATAAAGCAGTGTTTGTGAGCGCAGTGCTGCTTTGTGTACAGCGTTACCGGGGAAACCGCTATTTTTACCGCTCCAAAAGTAGCACCTAGTGGCAAAGAGTGAATTTGCATTTTCATTCAGACCAACGAGAAAAGACCAACAAGTGGGCGGGCAATATGCTAATGTTTCATGTTGACGTTCAAAAATCCATTATAGGGGCACTTTAATTGTTTTATGGATTGAAATAAAATTGTAAAATCATTTTTAAATGCCTTAAAACAAGGAGAAACTTTAACAAATCTACATTTGTGTATATAAAACTTGACTACAATAAACATATTATTGCCCAGAAAATCAATCTCTTTGTTTTGCATAAAGACACCAAATTTAACAATGTAATTGTCAAAGTCAATTAAACAAGTAATAGTACTGATAGTAATAATAAAGTACAGTTCTTACTTAAATATGAAGTTGTCAATATAGCCTTTTGCTATTAGTCTTTCTTTTTCTTCTTGACTACACTTTTTGGCATGTTGTTCAAGATAAATAAATAAACTCTGCTTTAAAATGTTTTAAATAATTAAAATGCTTGTGTGATTTATTGCTAAATACAGATAAAAAAAAAAAAAAACATATCCCCAGCTGCATATTTTTTAAAGTAAGCATCTCAGTATCAGTCTTATTTTTGTTATAAGAGCAGGTACGCCAGTGGTACTTCCAGTTCTTTTGCTGTACTAAACATTATGCTGCTTTAAGTTTCAAACTGGTATTTGTTATCATATTATTTTACTTTATTATCATAATCATAAACATGCTGGTTTGTAGCACAAATAGGTTTACCATTTGTGTTACAAACCACTCTGTTATTCTTCTAGTTGTTTATCTATGGACGCCATCGTATCAGGAATCAAAGAAAATAGCTTAACTTCCATATCGAAGGTGGATACTGATGCATTTATATTTAGTCATTTATTATTATTATTATTATTATTATTATTTATTTAGTCATTTGATGCTTTAAAATAAGGACAATTCATCAAGGAATCATTTGTTAGACTAGTATGGGGTGGGATGAGGACAATCAGACAATCCTGTGAGTGGGCCCAATTAGGTCCTCTGTGGTACAGCAGCACATCCTTCTGTACACAGCCTACTATTGCACATCGTGACAACTGTTACACACACGTTATGCCTACCCCATGCCATGGCACGGCAACATGTTTGTAGGTATATGTATTTGTATTGTATAAACATCATTTTTTTTTTTTTATTGTTTTCTCTTATTACTGTAGTATTTGGAACCACATTTTTTCCTCCACTGACCGCACTGTGTTGAGTGACTGATCGTCTTTCAGCCAATGCAGCTCTGACAGCAATTCAAAGACGTCAGGGCTATGCTGTGATTGGTTACCAAGGCACACGTGAGCCAAGCGGAGCGCAGAGGTTGGTGTCTCCCCGTATAAAGAACATCTCTCTGAACTAGTCTGGAGCTCAGTCCAGTTCATTTCGTACGCTGGAGGGAGTGAAGCTAATATTCAGAACAGCAGTTTAGGTCAAATTACTTGTTTTTCGTCTCACTTCTCCATCAGCAGTTTAGAACGATAAGCCCAAGAGTGATAAAATTGAGGAAAAACAAGTGAACTCTTGTTGTCGACTGATTCAGGTAAATGTAAACTATCTGCTGATAAAAGTGTATGTAATATTAAATTTGACATTTGATTGTATTTATTTAAAATAACTGGAACGTTATTGTAAGCTTACATTTTGTATATTTCGTATGTATGTATTTTACGCTACTTTAGAAATGTGAGCACGTGGTGTGCTCCTGAGCATGGCTTACCTCATTCACCGTGAAATTACATTCAAGAGTATTTTCATAAAGCTCATGTTTGCTAAATTATAATACATCAGTTACTCATTTGTTTTTGTCCCTCTTTTAGGCTTATTTGCTGTTGTAGTGGACTTTGTGGCCAGTGACTCTAGGTAAGACCAGGCCTGACTTCACTGCATCATACATTTTCTGTTTGTGTGGTCTTGAATGATGCGTTTACTGCGTTAGACTGCTGAACATCAGTGATGTCAAGTCAAAATAACTGACAAGACTGGTGAATTTCAACTTAAAGTCTGTTTAATTTTGAAGCTGTTATTAATCTTTAAGATGGCATTTTCTTTTGCAACAGGGAGAGAAGGTGAATTGGAAGAGGCTGAGGTTTGTATGTTCCTCACTATGTTCATTGTAATGGCTGTGTGTGTGTTGCAGATGTACCTGCATAACGTTACACTGTACTGTAATATTTTGTGAATATAACAATTGAACAATCCTGTTTGAGTGTCTGTAAACAAACGAAATAAACCTCTTTGCATGTGTGTCATTTGTTGCAGTGTTTTATGTAAAAAATATTTAAGCACTGTATTTGAACCTGTGGAGGCCCTTCATGGCACAATGGGTCAAGCAACAGTGCAACAGAAAGCTTGTTACAACTGGAGCCTCTTGGATTCCCCCCCCAAGTTGCTCTTTTAAAAGCAGTCGACAACTTGTGTATACATGATTTTCCACGATTGTACTACTATAAAGGGGCACTGAACTGGAGGGTAATAGTGGATCTGAGTAAGGGGCCCATAACGGTATATTTCATTTGTTGCAATGTTGTATATAAGCTTTTTTTATTTTTATTTTTTAACCTGTGGAGGCCCTTCATGGCTCAATGGGTCAAGCAAGGGCTGCTTGTAACTGGAGCCTCTTGGGAGTTGCTCTTTTAAAACCATTCAACAAAAGCTTTGAAAAAATGCCTCTGGAATATTTTTGCAAAAGCAGTTTATCAATTTCCACACACAATCATGTTGTCAATATGGCAGAACACAATATTCAAATGAAGTATTGCGTAAAGGAAACAGCAATTGGCAGAGCGCACACAAAAGATTAACTGAGAATGGCAATGTTGAAGCATAAACAGTGATACAAAATAAACACATTAAAATCAAATTACATGTAGTATTGATGCTTCCACTTGAATGCAAAATGGAGGTGGAAAAAGCCATAATTCACGTTTTCTGAAACCTCAGCGGCAACAAAGATCCAGAATTTGTGGTGTTGGATAGAAAACACTTTTTCAGACCCGTCAATACCTGTTAAGTATCTGATAATGGATGAATGTCAAAACTCATTCATGATATTTTAGATGGCAAAGTTCACTTGCCAGTTATTCAACAAACTACCTACATGATTTAATACACCAATGGCCTGCAAGCGCAGTAAATAATAATAGTAAAAAAAAAAAGTCTACCTGACAGCAACAAAAATAGCAACACTTGACAAACTATGCCAAACTAGGTAGACAAACATATGAACTGTTTTGTACATTCAACAATCTTCTTCACATGTACACAAGACATGAGTTAATCTGCGTTGGAAATAGAATAGCACTTATTTTGAGCCTTTATCTGAAATGCAATGTGAGGTGTAGCCCAGTGGTTCTCAACTGGTTTTGCTTCCGGACCCAGATTCTAGATTGGACATCCCAACACAGTCCAAAACTGATTCTCATTCAAAAAGTAAACAAAAATACCCTTCAAATCAAACACTGAAATATATTAATATTACCATGAACTACCCAACAATATACAAAGTTATTTACAACACAGGCTGAATAAGAAACATTGTGGTCGGCACAAATATATAGATCATATGTAGTCGGGTTGTATTATACACCTTGTGCAGTTTTGTTAATGGTTTTAAAGGCGAGGGCAGGCCACACATTCAGTCCATTAGCATCTGTCTGTTCAATATTCAGTTCAAAAACCCAGAATAGAAAAAATGTAGGTTATGGATAAATTTATGAAAAACACAATGGCTTAAAATTCACATTTGAGTGTAATTTATGTAAAAATGTGAAAGCCTCTTAAGTACTCTTAATCACAGATCTTATTTTACTTGTACAATCATAAAACACCTTTCTAAAAACCAGTAGAAATTACAACCCATGGCGAATTTGCCCTTTCTGGTTGCTCTACAAACAAACAGATCAGTTTGAGTTCTGTGACATGAATTTGTACCAAAACAAGTCAGGGTTGATTAGATGACAAACTCAAACTATACAAAAATATGAAAAGTCTTTCCCCTCTCTTTTAAAAGATTGGCCTATTTATCTTGCTGTCCTAACTTTGCACCTTAATCCCTGCTTTTCTTTGAGAATAGACCTGCGACTCACCATTTGAGAACCACTGATCTACGGCCACTGCAGAGGGGCGATGATTGGAGAGATCTCACATAGAAAGCTCTTGAACCCTATCCTCTAGAATAGTCCGCTTGAGTAGGGATCACTTGGTAGGGATGAAAGGTTATTGGCTGGTGTCCCTCTTGAGCACAGTGAAATTGATCTAATTGCATAATCAGACGCCACACAGATGGCTCAGGCAGCGGTGAATGGAAGAGGATAATGGTGGTACTAGTAGGTCTGTTGTGTCTAAAATTATTTGCTGCTAGAAGCATATGACAATCATGAGAAAATCATAAATGGGTGCAAATCTCAGAAATGCCCCCTTTTGGCTTAAGAGTTTCTGTTAAAATTACCAGATGTATCCGTTACTGGTGTTTGTAGCACGTTCTATACATCCCAAGGATGCACGGCCCCAAATATCGAACCCCTCCAGGTGGTTTGCAGGCACCCTGTCATACCAAAAGTCCAGTGAAAGCCCTCGGGTTGTAATTCATATCTGCCGACCAGACGTTAGGCTTTTGAAGGAAAGAATTTAGTGTCATGTGACACTAGGACGTTTGGTAAGTCAGCGTGCATCAAACAGAGGTAGTGTATACACTTTACCTAGTCTTCTATGTCCTATACTGCTTCTTCACGAGTTGTTCAACATAACCTGTATGCATTTTAGTATTTCACCAAAACCTCTTTATCCTGTTTAAGGGCCAGCAGCATGTGCATTCGTACTGTCCCAAACAAATCAAAAGAAAGCAAGCAAGCAAGCAATATTGTCCTTTCTTTTAGTTATTGATGTGTTCAGATTTGTCACAGCTCTGTTCAATGGGCAATATGGCACCTGTAATTTTCAACTCGGGTATAGTCCTGCCCTCATGGGACTGAAGTGTTTATCTTTTGTTTGATAGAGTAACTAATCTTCACATGTCCTCAAGGGACTCCTCAGGGTCCAAGGTTTCTTCATTCTTCAAGGCATTGGCATTGGAACGCGTGTCCATGGCAGGGTGCATGATAGGCAGCCAGATGTCATCCATATTTGGCATTACAAATATTTTCTGCATAAGGTAATGGAAGCATTAGAGGGTCAAGAAGAGGAAGTAGGAAGACAAAAATAAAAGCCTCATCTAATAAAAGCAATCAAATATGTACCCGAAGGTGCTTGCATGCTTGTTATTCAAATTATACATTCAGAGATCTCATCTGTGAGCTCCTTGTGTACTTATACACAAAATATTTGGCTCCAAACTGGGAATGAGTTTGCAGTTTTTAATTACTGAGAGAAAACCACTAAAGCAGGGAAACTCAGTTTTGGGCCTTAAGGTTTACTTTTTTTTTTTTTTGAGGTTTACTAACCTTGATCAAACTACATTTTAAAGAACTTGATTAGTTTTTTTTTTAGGGGTGTTTGATTAGGTGGAGCTAAACTCAGCAGGAAAGTGAACCTCGAGGGCCAGATTTGAGAACCCCTGCACTAATGAATGGCAATCCTTCCTATCCTATAACACCTTTGAGAAGGCTTATTAATGTAGTCTGATATTAAAATTATGAACTTTATAATTCTATCATTTGTAATATAGTCACAACCAAATTCTTTAAAGTCCTCCTGAAATTGCAAGAACTACAGAAATATTTATGAAAAGAAATGCGCATTAAAATAATGAAATCAAAAATGCATTCATGTTCTTATAATGCAATTATTTTTGCATTCATAATGAAATCCATGGAAAACCATATTAGTGTTCACGTTAAGTTCACATATGCTTACCTGAAACTCCTGATTGAGTTTATTTTCTATCCAGTCGGTCACATGAGCAAAAGTAACCTCTCTCTCACCCAGTTTAGGCCGAGCTTTCAGTTCCAGATGAGGAGGACTTCTGAAACCATACCTGAAATAAACAGAAACATCCACATATGTCCATATTCAAGTCTTTACTCTGAACACTTTATTTCAGGAACATGTTTTACTTTTGAGTTCTAAAAATGTATATACTTTACAGGGTGCCTAATTGTCAGAAAAATTGCAAAAAGACACACAAAAATCTGATTTCATGCGCTTCAACCATGCAATAAAATGTTTAAATGCATTTTAAAATCCAATCTTAGTTTTACAGACAGAGGCACGAATAATGACCAGCAGATGGCATATAAGCAACTTGTAGGACACCCAGAGATACTATCAGACTTTACTTCTGTGCAGTGGTAATGTGAAGAGGATATTGAAGGAAGCGCTATACCATATCCTGTCTGTTGGAGGTGGTGGAATGTTGACAGCTAGTGTTCCTCGACACTCCTGAACCTCCACCGTCAGGAGCAGCGGCGTATTGGACACCTCCTCTATCTTCTTCTTAATGAACTCAGTTTCCGTGGCTTTCTGGAAATACTTAGACTTGGCAATCTTGTCCACAAAGCGCATGATTTTGCTGGGTCGGTGTCCCCCAACATAACTGTGAAGAAAAGAGGCCACGAGCCAGTTATTATGCAGCATGTTCTGCCAGAGTACCTTTATCTCCAGGTGTGCGGACATCTTTAACCCACAGACAGATTCTGTGTCCAAGCTGTTAAACTGGTAACAATATCCCGAATTAAACAGAGAAGGAAATGGCAAGTTCCTCAATCTCACCCTTCCACTCCTGGAATTTCAGGCACTTCCACAGTATCTTCCTCATCAGAAGATCCTGCACTCGATGACTCTTCATCACTGTCGGCCAGGAAGTAAGTGCGTGGTCTGGTTCTGGTCCATGCACATAGACAAACAAAGGCTTAGGCAGCATATTTCTATAACTGGCTTTCTGAAAGCAAGGGAATTTGCAAAGCTGCAACACACCTATACTAAAGTCGACAAACTCCACAGTCAATACACAGTCAAAAAAAAAGCACTTCAAAACAAAGATGAAAGGTCTGTTCTGAACCCCAGTGAGCTGTAACACTTTTAGATATTGTTTTAGATTTATTGTTTGTGTGTTTCACACACAAAGGCAGAACCCACATGTATAAATTGTGGTCGCAATCACAGAATGCAATGTGACGCTCATTCAAGGGCTTGGAACAGAACTTCTGCAAGCACATGCGGGGATGTGGTGGTGTTACAGTGGTGAAGTGTCTGTCAGTTTAATGAATGGAGCAAAATTCTAAGCTGCTGCAATGTACAATACACTGAGAGATTTCAGAAAAACCCTGATTCAACTCACCATTAAGAGTTCACATCCAAAAACAAATCAGTCCAGAGGAAACAGTAAAAAAAAAAAAAAAAAAAAGTGTATGATAATTACATCCAACAGAAAAAATAACCCATCAAATAAACACAAAAAAGGCAGAAGCCCAGATATTTAGAACAAGAGATGAGGAACTTCTGTCTTCTGAAATGTCACTCTTACCCTTCTTTTCCCTGTTCTCCAAGTCCTTCCCCCTCCTTTCCCAGTCTAGTCAGGTTCATCTTGGTTTCAAGAGTCATAAGAAAGGAACCGTTGTATGAGATCTCCAAGTCAAACCAAAGGCCTACAAATGTAAATTCAAACAGTTAGTTTATACAGCGGTCCCAAAATGTATTTGGTCATACCTCCAAATGGATGTCTCAATGTAAGTGCATTTACATAACAACAAAAATGTGTCATTTGCGGTGTCCCACTAATAAAACGGAAAACTCTTCCTGGAGAATAATCATTTCCTGGACAGCTCATTGTGATTCTCTAACTTTAACATATTGAAACACATATCTAAATGATATTATTGATACTTTTTCCATCATTTCACCATCAAGCTTCACTAGCCCAAAAAACATGATTGCTTTGATTCTCTACTATTCTGACACAACAGGCCACCAGTTGCTTGTCCCCTGAAAACCTGCAAAGCACTTCTTTCCTTCACATTTCTCTGATTAGAAAACTCTACATCAAATCAAGCGGTCTGGAATTCTGCACCCAGCATGTGTTTACACTGATTAAATTCATTCAGGAGTCACTAGTGAACCCCCGGCAATCTTAAAAGCCATGCTGTCATGACGCACACTTCCTCCTGAGTGAGCGAAAGGTCACTACTTGAGTTCGCTCCACTCTGATTGGCTCAGAGAGACACTGATCCTCTGAGCTCAGCAGGCTGCTTCCTCGATGACGAACGAGAAGTTTAACTAGCTGGCAGGAGTCTGGTCATTTACCAAATCACACAGACTCACTGTAGGGGTGCTGCTCCATCAGTACAGTGCAGATATAGCCTGACCGAGGCACATCTAATGGTTTTGCAGCAGAGTCCACAGTAAATGATTTGAGTATGTACAGACTATTTCTTTTTTAAAATCAGCAGTAAAAGAGATGAACAAGATCTCATGACACTGCTGAAAGAACCACACTTAAAGTGAAATTTGGGCAGAATGTGTTAAATTTTTTAGGTTCAGTAATTTCACATTAATGGCAATGAATAGGTTCTTTTCATTGCCATTAAAGAGAAATAACTGAACATAAACATAGGAGCCTGATAAAAAAAATGCTAATTTTAGAAGAAAATTTCAAACAGCACTCTTCATACACACACACATATACATATATATACACGATATTTTATCATACATAAATTTACCAGGTACAAAAGGTACAAGTTAGGGACAAAACAAATCTTTAGAGAAAAAGATTAGGAACAAGGACTGATGTATTCAGTCCTGTTCAACTGAATAAAAACAACATTTGCATCCTTTTCCTTAAAGCTTGAAGGATACCACCACAACACCAGGGTGAGTAATATATGACTGAATTTTCATTTTGGGATGAACTATGGAGTAACCACATTAGACTGCATTAATAACTGAATTATTAATGGCTCAAGCCTCCACTTCTAGCTCCAAAATTATATTTTGGAATTAGCAACAGAGGCTTGAGATAAGATCAAAGAAATTAGTCCTTAGCACAAGAACATTTTAAGGACAACAAATTATAAATGGTTAGAAATCCATAATCTGAACAATGTCTTGATGTGCAGTATTGTGCTTTATTTTTTAATAATTGAATGGGTCGTCGTCAATTAATCCTTACGTAGTCCACAATATCCCACGCCCAACAAGCAAACTAGGTGCCAGAGTGTCTGTGGAACTACCTAAACTGAAATTAGCAGCAAAGACACACCAGCAAGATAAGACCGTTTAAGACCCAAAATAATTTTAGAGAACACTGAAACACCCTTTTAATCCTATCATTTATTGTGTGCAATTTTTCCATATAATTATTATCCTTTTATAATTTGTATTAATCTAGGCTCTATAACCTGTACTTTGGTATACTGTAGGTTAAGTGTTTGGTTTAGGTAAAGTCTTTTTTGTATGCACACATGTTGTTGTTTGTAGTTTATGCTTATAAATTCAAGCCCCTAATCATGCTGATTAATTCTGCATACCTGATGTCTGAGACCAAGTACTTATCTTTATTTAATCATAATTATTTATAAATATTTTCTCGTTTGAGCTAATAATTTTTCCTTTATTAGCAATAGTAAGCATAAATCAGGATTACAGAGCAGGCTTTACCTCTGTGATCCACAGATGGTTTGGATGAGCTGAGGATCTTGGGAATAGATATTCCCATGTCCAGCTCAGTGAGGGTCAGTTCATTCATGAAGTATGGAAGCTGTAATAATCAAGACACTAAGTTATAAACAAATACGCAGTCAGACAATCTGGTGTGAGATGTAAACCTATCTGTACTCACCCTGATCTTACTCAGCTTTTTCTGTATCTTTTTGGACACCACATCTGCCCAGTATTTCTCTCCAAGAAAGTCCCAGAACATGCGACCTAAAAGTGTATTGACCCAGGCTTCAGACTCGGACTCCTGCTCACGACTGGCTGGAAACTATGTGACAAACACAACGGGAAACAGATCTTCATTGGAAGACACTAAGGTAATGTCACAGACTACAGAGAGCAGATAGCACTATACCATTTCTTTTTTGACTGGCAATGTGGAGCAATTTCTATTTGTAAAAGATCCCCAAATGATCACCCGAAATATGCCAAAAACGGCCATGTGTTACACTGTGTTAGCATGGTTAATTACAACGCACTGTTTACAGTTATCGGTAAATGTCACATACAACTTAATATGTTACATCAAATTTTTAAATATAAAATTAATTTGTACGATCTCAGATATTGGTTATATGTTACAATGGCTTTGAACATGGCTTAATGGTATATCATAATGGTATATCATAACTTAATGATTATGATTTATGAATGCACTGGCTAGTACACATGAGTCACATGAGTCTTTTGTTGCACCAAAATTATTCAGTAAATGTTTACATTGTTGTTTATGCATGTTATCTTATTGGATTAAAAAATGTATATGGCTCAACTGAGCGTTCAAGTTTTTATGCACATTTTAAGACTTGATGCCCATATTGCCATTTCCATCCAGCATTTTAATGCAATATCCCAAAATTCACATAAAAATATGTGGATGGAAACAAAGTCAAAGTCTGGATGCATGAGTCTCAGTATTTGATAGGCAGAGTTGGTTTAGCTGACGGTTTGTTTTTAAATGAAAGATTACTGCTTTTAGGAAAATGGACACTGTGAAATATTATGTACCTTTTTCACGATTCCCGGGCTGCTTCCAGCACTCTGAACAGGGCTTGTGGTTGGGCTGTCTGCAGACTGGCTGACATATTTGGCCATGTAGACGTTGTATTCCAGAACTTTCTGTTTGACACTGGCATCAAGGTCTTTTTGTCTGGGATGGGACTGGAGCACTTCATCCAGACTGCCACGACTGCTGCTGCGGCTATGAGACAGACAGCCTGCTGAGAGAGATAATACTACTTAATAAATAATTAGAAAAAAAAAAACAAGAGAATAAATGTATGAATAAAACTGTAGTCCATTCAATGGTCCGCATTCAAGAAAAAATATTTACTATGGAACTTTTTTTCACAGACTCTGACGATGCGTGTCTACTTAAAGAAAGTACTAATGATTTGAATAAAGGACCATTTGTAAATTTTTTACTTGTAGGCAGGCCAGAGGGCTTCTTGGCTTCGGATTTCAGCTTGGACGCAAGTAGCATCCTTCTGAACCATTCCTCTTTGTCTCTTCCTGTTCTCCCAAACAGGTACAGCACAGGTTCTGTGTGCACTCTCTTAGGTTCCTCACTAGTGGCTACAGCCTCAGGCCTGTCTCCTGCTGCAGGGGTCTTCTCCACTACGTCAGACTTATCTCCCTGCACTCTGGCCAGGAAGTCATCCTGCTTGGCCAGCTCAATGCAGATGGGATACTTCTTATTCCACACTCTTTTCCTGGCCAGGCTATGAGGCACCAGGTAGATCTGTAATACAAGAACTCAAATGTTCATATAGTATGCATTTAAAGGGTTTAATAAGTTTTGTTTTAAATAGAACGTTTTAAAAAAACGTTCAGATTTCACACTTTGTTCTGTGCAAATGAGATGCTGTATCACAGACGCTTACAGTAAATGCAAGAAAAAAAGTTTCAATATTACTATGGTGCCCTGCTTGTCAGTAACATTTTAAATACTAAAATTCTATGTCACATTCTATAATTCAATTAAAGAAACATTCTGTAATTCGAGTCAAAGAGACACTTTCAAACCTTAATTTACATTAACAAAAAACTAAATTCTCTACAAAACAAAGTTTGAATAGGGCCTGTACATTAAGTGCACTGGGGTAAAATAATTGCAGAAATTCAAAGCAACAAAACAGGTTGTGCACTGAGAGATCGTGTCTACCACCCACCTTACTGTTGGTGAGATCATAGATTTTCTGGCTAACATAGGTGACGTCAGGTTTGAGCTCGTTGAAGGTTGCCCGGCGGGGAATATTGTGGTTAGGTTTGGACAGTCGCAGGACAGAGCCCTCCAGACGCACATACACAGAGTGAGTGAGTGTGGCGTGATAAGTCTCAGGGTCATAGCTGTGGATCTCATTCATCCAACCCTGAAAACATAACCACAGAAATTTTACAACGCAACAAATGGCCCACAAAAAAGAAAAAGTAGTAGTAAATAAGGGGCCAAGCACAATCTACACTGTTGGGTTACAAGCCAGACCTTTAACCATTATGTCACGTCATAATACAGCTTCTACCTTCTGAGAAACATTGCAAGTTGAGAATGCAGTTTTTCTACAAATGCGTTCAAAGTCATGAATGATTCTGGATAAAAAAAAAAACAAAAAAAACAATCCATTCTAAATGTTTCTGTTTAGTTTTTTTCCAATATAAAAGGCAATAACTGCTATCATGATTATACATCGTCCATCAAAACTGACATATTTATACACAGAATCCAAAATTTGTACTCTTGTAAACTGCACACTTTGTAAATACCATATCTGCACCCTTATAACATATCTTTACATTTATTTCAACAATTAAATTTTTTTCCTATACTTCTATTTCTGTATATAGTACATTATTTAATTTCAGTTTTTTTCTTATATTAGTGTTATATTCCATTCCTACTGTGTTATTCCTATGTATGTCTGTACTTTCTTCTGCACTGGTAGCTGCTGTTGTCAAGTCAAATTCCTTGTGTGTGTAAACATACTTGGTAATAAAGCTCTTCTGATTCTGTTTCTGAATAGTAAGTGATTATTTTTTTCTCAGACTAAATAGTACCACTGTGTTCAGTTTTAGAAGTTCGTATCAAACACTTCACCTGAAACATCAAAAAGTTTTTTTTTTTAACCATTTGATAACTCTTATGTAGACCACTTGACCACAATTCAGTCAAAATTTGACAAGCATTCAGTAATTGGCCCCTAAAAGCAAAATGGAGAAAAATACCCCTGAAAAGCATTGCCTGACCAGGACATGTAATTAAAAACACAACAAGGAGTTGGTGCCGACAGCCTCGTGGGCAGCGCGCCGACATATTTAGCTCCGTTGTGCTTCAGGCAACCTTTCCCGATCCCGCCCCCCTCTCTTTCTGGCACTTAGCTTTCTGTCAACTAACTGTCCTATCAAAATAAGGGCAAAAATAAATCTTAAAAAACAACAACAACAAAAACACACTCTACAAGGCCAAAATGAACAAATTATTTACAGCATTGTTAAGTAAACAAGTATGAGGAAGGACTGTACTGCCTTTGTTGGCTGAAGGATGGGCAGTCAGACGAACAAAGGTAGGCCTGATAATATTACACAGCTCAGGCAAAATGACGAAGCACCACACATTACTCTCTTCCAATGAATCAGTCAGGGTAAACGTATAATAATAAACGACCAATACCACCACTGGTGCAAATGAAAATAATTTAATTTTCACTTATTTGTTTGTGCTAAAACGATGATTGAAGTCCATTCACCCCAAGAACAAAAATTATAATAAATATAGAAATATTTGAACTGAAGTAACAGTTTTACTATTATAACTATTTCAGCATCCACCATAGACAACAACTTTGTTTATTCTAAGCATGCGCTGCAGACCGCAGTTATGTGCCGAGTTAATATCACTGCAGCATGTGCTTTTTAAAAATTGGACGGATTTGAACTGTTATCGCTCTTAAGCTGGGGGAAAAAAAAACTTCCCCAGTATAATTAAATTGCAGTACTTACATTAAAAACATCCCTGAATGTTCTAAACCTCTTCATTTGTAAGATTTTACTTCAATCAAGGACCTAGCCAATGATAAGGATAACAGCTTTAACAAAAAACATGATCTCTGGTGCCTCGTTGCTTCAGTTGAGTTTAGATAAATGGCTATGTCAGCAGAGACCAACAAACTAAGTGGTGACTATGATGATAATGAGCCTGATGATGAGCATTCCTGGCTGCTAGTATCAAGTAGTTCATTCTGACTAGGCCTGTCACAATAACTTTAATTATTGAGGTCATGTACATATATTGCGCGATAAGTCGATATATTGATTATTGCGACAGGCCTAATTCTGACATAACATCACTGTGTCCAAACAAGCAAACTATAAACAATAATAATATGCACACTGTGTGCTGTAGTACTATCGAAAAATCATGATCCTAACCTTTATATCCAAACTGAAATCTCAGTTGGCCAGACAATGGTTCATCTTCAATAAATCATGAAAATATTGTTGTCTGGCAGAATGTGAGCCTGAAGACGGTAGTGTACACAGTGAGTTTATGAAAGCTTAGCTTAAAGGTGTGCTATAATGTGCTCATAAATGGCTGTTGAGACAATATTATTGCTTGAAATAAAGTGGAGGATTGAACCCAGATTTGGAAGGTCGATACGTCACAACTATCTCTGGAGACACCTTAGTTTATATTGTTAATTTCTCATAAACGCTCTCTTGTCCTGCATTAAAACATGACAACAACATCCACCATGACCTAGTGTGACTATTAAAGTGTGACTATCATGTGACCATCTTCTATTTCTAGCAAGCAATGCAGAACTGACCAGATCATTTCATTATCAGGAGAAGCCAAACAAGGCCACACTAGATAAGCTGGACATCAGCTTTTTTTGTGAAGGCCTTCAGCCATTCTCAGCAGTGGAACTCTTTTCAAGACTCTGGTTAATTTAACACTCTTCACCCTAGTATGACTTAAATCAACTGTCAATTCAGGAAGCAGTCTACCCACACCATAATAGCTAGGCTTGGCAAAATGAAGTAAGTGTCAACAACAACAGACTTTTGCAGTGTGCGAGGCAGAGAAGCTACATCAGGGTCAATGCTTACTGGATTAATAAGGAGACACTAGACTAGAGATTTGGGGCCATATTCACAAAACATCTTAAGGCTAAAAGTAGCTCATAACTTACCAATTTAGGAGAAAATCTTAAAAATAATGGGTGTGTCAGTCCTAAATTTAGGACTCCTAAATGTTTGCTCTAAGAGTATTTCACAAAGCGCTTTAGCACTAAAACTAGCTCCTAAATCTGTGAAATGTTAGGAGTAGTGAAGAGTCTAAGTCACTAAGACAAAGCCACAAACTATCCTAAAATGGTGGTTGCCGGCAATCTGCCTCGGAACGTAAAGATTTTAGAAACATTTGACGATAATGAGCTTTTGGTTTTGGAGGTTATCCCAACTCCAAATTTTCCTTTGATTATATGCTTGTTTTCATTAACCAATTTTTGTTTGCATGTCTTACTATTAGCCATGATTATTCTACTCTGTTAATTAAAAGGCTGTTTATATGTATATTCACAAATGTTTTACAAGAAGCATACAGGCTGACAATTAGCTGAACATATACATATATATTATATTGTTTAATTAGTGACACTTAGCCTGCATTTTAAAATCTTTATTTGAATGTGGCAATTAACATTTTTATTTTTAAACCTCTACTTGATTATGGCAACATAATATCACGCTCTACAATACTTCTATGAATGAATCCCTGACAGAGACTCCTCCCCTATCAGCCAATCACTGTGTGCATATTTAGTAAGCATGCTGACATCATCCATAGCAACAAGGTCAACTTACTCTTACTTCTCTCTATTCCTTAGTAAAAGTCTGTTTCAGCAACTTTGTGAATAAATTTTAAAAGAAAACTTTTACTGCTATTTAGGAGAACTCTTAGCGGTAAGATAAAATGTTTTGTGAATACGGGCCCAGATGCTTTAGTTTGCAAACCTCTCACAATACTTCAATGTACTTGCGTTACCCTTGGTGATACATATACACAACAATTATCACATCCATGACAAGACTGTAGGAATAGATACAGATAGTTGGCTAAATATGGATTAGTCCCAAGTTCAGACAAATTGACCATTCGCAGGGAGCTTGATTGACAGGCGATCTGACCAATCAGAACGCGTATATTATGTGCCGCCGCTGCTATCCGCCATCTTGCCTGACAGCTACGGCCGGTGTTCTGATGATTTGTGCTACCCGCTCAGATTGTGCTACCTCCCATTAAAAAGATAGGTAGCACAAATCGATAGCGAAAAATGCTACCTATCAGATTGTGCTACCAGCATCTTATTCTTGTGGTTTGAGGCTTTTTTAATGTCCATACCTACCCCTACCCTAAACTTACCCTTAAAGGGGTCATCGGATGCCAATTTTCCACAAGTTGATATGATTCTTTAGGATCTTAATGAAAAGTCTGCCTTAAAGGGGTCATCGGATGCCCATTTTCCACAAGTTGATATGATTCTTTAGGATCTTAATGAAAAGTCTGTAACATCGTTTGGTTAAAATTTCTCAATGGTAGCGTAAAACAACAGCATTTTTCCCCCGTCATAAACAGCTCTTTTCAGAGCAAGCTGTTTTCTTGCATGCCGCTTTAAATGCAAATGAGCTCTGCTCGCCCCGTCCCTCTCTTCCGAGCCGCTCTCTGGGAGATGGTAAACTTTAGCCGCATTCATTGTGAAACTTGCTAACTAGCATGTTATTAGGAAAGGCGATTTGCAAAGATTCAT